TGTCCCAGCAAAGACTGCCCATTGTAACAAATATAATTAAAACTAAATCTTAAATCTTCAAAATCCTCCTCTTATTGCTCTTTTCCTTTTCTCTTCATCTTATTCCATCCTCCTTTCCCAACTTTGTTTTCTTTCATTTACTGTATTCTTCCTCACTTTCTCTTTATACTCTCTGTTCCTCATTAAAATATATATATATATATATATATATATATATATATATATATATGTATATATATATATATATATATATATATATATATATATATATAATATATATATATATATATAAAGAAACATGTATATTTAAAAAAATATACATATTTTTTTTTTTTTAATAAATGTTATTCTCCCTTGGCCTTCCTCTTCCTCCCCCACACAGGACAAAGTGCAGTACCGCTGGTCCGACGACTGGCCGACCATCTACACGAACTGGGCCAAGAACGAGCCCAACACCAACCAGACGGACTACAACTGTGTGAGGCTGAGCGCCATCAAAGACGGGTCGTGGTACAGCGAGCTCTGTACCGAGAAGAGGCCTTACGTCTGCAAGCACAAGGATGGTAAGGGGGTATAGGGAGGAAGGGAGATAGGGTGATAAAGAGGAGGAGGAGGAACGCGGATAAAAAGAGTGAGGAATAGGTTTCTGAATAGAGAGCTGTGTGTGATTTTTTAATAGGTCTTAAGGTCTGAGAGTACAAAGGGGTAAGGAGAATGGGGAGGGAGATATGGTGATAAAGAAGAGGGATAGATTTCTGAATAGCGAGCTTTGTTCTGATAATAGATCTTATGATTGCAAGGGCAATGATGATAAGGGGTATGAAGAAGAATGGAAATATGTGATAAGGAGGGCGAGGGATAGGCGAGGAGGAACGCAGGTAAAGCGAAAAGGCCGAGGAATAGTTTTTTGAAGAGATAACTGTTTTCTGAGAATAGGCCTTTCGTCTGCAAACGCAAGGATTGTGAAGGGAATGAAGTGGAACGGAGATTTGTTGATAAAGACAAAGAGGGTGAGGAATAGGGGAAGAGAAACACAGATTAAAAGGGTGAAAGAATGGGTTTTGATAGGTATAATTTTTTTTTGAATAGCGAATGTGTTCTAATAACAGGACGTCTACAAGCACAGGGGCGGGAGACTATGAAGCTCATTAAGTTTGAAGAAGAGTTGTGAGATTGCGAGCAATGTTTTGAGAAGTTATAAGTCTAATAGCATAAAGATGGTAGGTTATGAGGGGAATGACTGATTGTAATAGCGAGGGTTACATTTAGGTTTCCCGAATAGCGAATGATTCTGTCAAAGTGATTCGTCCGTTAGAAGAAAGACGTTATGTAATGTGCAGGATTCCTACTGAACATATTGTAAATAAAAGAACGAGAAGAAGAACAAGAAAATACAAGAATAAAAGTAGACACACGGATAATGAGGGTTAATAAACAGAATGCTGAGAAGAGGTCATATATGTAAGCCTAATGGTACTAGGATATTAGGAGAAACACAACCACAATGATAAAAGTTAGTGGTCCAGAGGAACTGTTTTGACACGGTCGTATGTCGGCAGCGGTAAAGAGGAGACAGTGGGTTGTGAAATCAAACATAACCACAATAATGATGCTGAAGGTAGCGTCATAGTACGGCGAAGAATGTCCTGAAATTATGAAACGAAAGAAAGAAATAATAAATGCTAATAAAAGGTAGTGTCATAGCGCTGCGGAATGTGTTCTGAACTTATGAAATAATAAAACAAAAAAAATATTATGGTATCGGTATCAGGCTATTTTTTCGATAGGTACAGTCATTCTTTAATAGTAATAATTGTAATAATAACAAAAATTAAGATAATGTTAACGATAAAAATATAATCATATTTCGTAATGATTATGATAACACCAAAATAAAAAGAAATGAATATAATGGAGTCATTATAAGAACAATGACAGCAGTAACAATTATCAAAGTATAAACAAGAATTATTAAACAAAACAATGGAAATAACAATAACGAAAAATATTAATTCCACAACACGCCAGCACATATAAGACCGCACGTCCTTTATCATTAATTAAAGCCAGCATGAACGCATTCAAACACCTCCGAACTCCCCCCCCCCTCTCCCTAACAGGTCCCGTGCCCCCCCCGACCCCCCAGCCACGGGAAGGTGTCCGGACGATCGCTGGCTCAACCTTGGCGGCGGCTTCTGCTACCTCGTCGTCGAATCCGCCAAGCCGTGGAATGACGCGAGTATGAAGTGAGTTCTGGATTCTATTTTGATTATCTGTTATGACCGTCTGTTTCACTGTCTGTTTGTCTGCTTACCTACCTGTATGTCTCTGTCTGTCTTTCTGTCTCTCTCTCTTTCTCTCTCTCTCTCTCTCTCTCTCTCTCTCTCTCTCTCTCTCTCTCTCTCTCTCTCTCTCTCTCTCTCTCTCTCTCTCTCTCTCTGTCTGTCTGTCTGTCTGTCTGTCTGTCTATCTGTCTGTCTCTCTCTCTCCCAAAGAAGGGAAAAAAGAGGGAAAAGGGGAAGAGATGGAAAAAGAGAAAAAAAGAGGAAAAGGCAAATGCAGCCACAAAAAGAAAAAGAAAAAGAAAAAGATAGTAACAAAAAGAAAAAGTCCATGACAGATTAGTGGCATGCCGAGCGTAGTCATGTGTCACGTGACTTACGACACGTGCTCATGACGGAGAGCGACTAATGGGCCTTAACCCATGGCGAGGGAAGGGTTATTGTGGGTAATAGTGGTCATTCTGCGAGGTCATGGGGGTGGAGTCTCCGTGGGATGGGCGGGCTGTGTCGGCGGCTGCGGAGGTTTTGCTTTTATTGATGTTTTTGTTTTATTGATCGTTGTTGGTGTAATTATCATTGTTTTTATTATTGCTATCATTGTTATTTACATTGTTATTGTTATTAGTTGTTGGTGTTATTATTATTGTTATTATCATGATTATTATTACTTTTGTTAATATTATCATTATTATTATTGTTATTGTTGTTGTTATTATTATTATTATCAATATCATTATTATTTTATTATCATTATTATTATTATTATTATTATTATTATTATTATTATTATTATTATTATTATTGCCATTATGCTTCATCAATTCATACGAATTTCAAAATATTCTCATGATAATTAGTTTTTCGTTTTGAAGGTTATCTGAAACACTAAGTTGAATACTTAGGATTCGTAAAAAGAAAAAAAAAAATCTTTAGAATTCCTTTTTGCAATGTCTCAACGGAAGAAATCTTTCTCTGACATGCAATTTTGCATATTGTTTGACATTATCTTAATAACTTATAATACTGGCAATACAATTTGTATATTTTATTTTGGTGATAGTAAATACCAGTGGTATGTATTACCTTGAGAGCGTTCAAACTTACATGTTCAAGAATTTCGAACAATCTGAACGGTCATAAATAAATTCATTAATAAGAATATTAAGTAAAAAATGTGTTTAAAAAGAAGAACTAAAAAAATGTGCAAGACCTACAAATAAAAGATTAACTAAGTATTTCCATAAGGTAACTGGACCAAACATAATATAAAGAAAATAAAAAAAGAAAGTCGGGAACATCTACACGGAAAAGTAAATAAACAGGGGTTACACTCAGAAAAAGAATCAGGAAAATCAACGAAGAACAGGAATTTCTTTCTTTCTTTTTCCTATTCTCTAATATCGTCTTTGTTTCTTTCTTCCAGATGCGTGCAGGAAAATTCCCACCTCGCCTCGATCCACTCCCAGCAAGAAATGGATCTGATAACGATGGCGACCCACAAGTTCAGGGATCCGCTGTGGATCGGCTTGGTGCAGAAGACTAGCGGTGCGCATGTCGATCGTGTTTTGTTTTCTGGCTTTTTTTTATTGTTTTAATTTTTGTGGCTTTTATTTTGGCATTTGGCTGAAGGAGAGGTAATAGATGTCGTATAGCAAGGGAGGAGTGAGGGAAAATGGTGGGGAAGAAGAGAAAAAGGAAGGGAAGAGGCTGCAGAAAACTGGTGGTGCGCATGCCGATGTTTTTTTTTTTTCTATTCCGTTTTGATTTTTGTGGCTTTTATTTTGGCATTTAGTTGAAGGAGAGAAAGGAAAGGAAAGAGGATGCAGAAGACTAGCGGTGCGCATTCCGACTTTTCTTTCTTTTTTGGCTTTTGTTTTAGGGGAAGGCTAGATCAGGAGCAACTCGAGGAGAAGAAGAAGAAGAAAAAAAAACATGGGGTTTATTTAGGTGGCGTCACAAACGTTACGGATGCTTTGTGAATATGGTCGATCATTTTAGTCTTTTCAATTTTCAAAAAGGATTATTTTAATGATTATATTTTCATTGAACAATCATCAAAACAGACGCCATGACACCTCCACGAGTTGCTACGGATCTAGCCTTTCCCTTTTGTTTTAGGAGGGAGGGAGAAAGTGAGATATAAAATATAATAGCCAATCCGACAACGAGGTATAGGATGAGAGGAGTGGAAGAAAACGACGGGGAAGGAGTGAAGAAGGAAGGAATTAGGTTAGTTACAGATAGACGGAAGGAAGAGATCGTTTGTGCAGACGACTTCCGGTAGGCATCCAGTTCGTGTTTTTTTTTCTTTTTTTTTTTCTTTATTTTGTCTTTTATTTTACGGAGAGGGAATATATGAGGTATAGGATGGGGGGAAGGAATGATGGGGAAGGAGAGAAGGAAGGAAGGAGGATGGGGATAGAGATAGAAGGAAGGGATGTATGAGAGAGAAAGGGAGACAGAGTAAAGAGGAAGAAGAGGAAGATGGAGAAGAAAAAAGATGACGAAGGGAAGATAGAGCAGAAAAAAAATAATGAAGGGGAAGATGGAGAAAAAAAGATGACGAAGAAGAGGGAAGGAATACGACGAGAGAGAAGGATGGACAAAAGAAAAAAAAAAAAAGATAATTCACCCGATGTTTTTGTTTTGTTTTTTGGATTATGTTTGCGAAGACGAATGAGGGAGAAAGCAAGGGAGAAAAAGACGGGGAAGGAGAATAGATGGAGATGAGGGAAGGAATGAGGTTGGAGAAGGAAAGGATAGAAAAAAACAAAACAAAACGCAATTCTGTTTTCATTTACATATTCCTTAATGAAAGGGAATGGGAGAAAGGGAGGGAGAGAGAGACCAAGCACCTCACACACACACACACACACACACACACACACACACACACACACAACACACACACACACAACACACACACACACACACACACACACACACACACACACACATATATACATACACACACACACACACACACACACACACACACACACACACACACACACACACACACACACACACACACACACACACACACACACACACACACCACACACGCACCCCCCCCCACCCCACACGCACACACGTACACACACATTATAAATACATACACCGGATGTACATAAGATAATACAGGCCAAAGCACTTCCCATTTGGTCTCTTGTTAGTGACAGTGGGCGGAGCCTAATAGATGT